ATGCCCCGGGCCAATTTCAGAATTGCCATGTGTGTTTATAGGTGGAGGACCACAATCAACCTTGCAGGAAATGACTCGCATCTTGGTATATTGCGTTCATCATGCCACTGCAAGTCACAAGTACTTAGCAAGAGCGTGTCGGATGAGAGAATTCTCTCCATATTGAGCTTCTTCACTAACGACTAGGAGCCATGATCCACTATAAGCGGTCGTTTCTTAGACGGAGACATGTTCAGTTGCTTCACCCTGAGTATTTAGTAAATATCGCATCGCAGCAGGCGGCCAAATCCTCCTGCTGTTTTTCGCCGGGTCCCAGGCCCAGTGTATCCTGACACAAAATGCACGTCTGAAGAATTTCCAAGGCCTTTGGATGCTGATACCAAAAAGAGATATATAATGAAGCTGCCCAATTTATTGAGGGTTGTGATAAACCGAGTAGAGAACACCACCAACAAGACCAGCAATGTCTTTGGCTCTGACTGCCTTAAAGAATTCCGGTCTGTCCATAAGAGAGAGAACGCGGGCAGGGGCCCAGTAACATTCATGCTTGAATTTCCTGGCCCCATTCTAGACGGATATACTGAGATTCCAAATGGCTTCTAAACCTCTAACCAGAAAACATTTTTGGGCGGAGTGACCACGGCGCCTGCAGGCGCGACAAACATTTCTCTTGCGCTGCATACATAGTTCCCTTAATAACTTGTACAGCCTATAATAACAATGATTAATAGCTTTGATACATACGATGCGTCCTCCTCTTCCTCCTCGGCCACCAGTGCCAATGAGCTGGTCCATTGGAAGTAGAAAACAGCGCGTAACGGGTATGCGTGCCTGGTCTCTCGCACGTAAAATAGTAGAAACTTGCTGAGAGCCTGCTGATATCGATGCTGTTGGGATCCTTCTGGCTCAGTCAATAGGCCACGGCACATCAAGCATCAAAGCACATTCTTTCCATGCCTTGATCGTGATGGCCCAAGTATCTCCAGCGACCTTGTTGTATAGAGTCAGCATATCTTGTGAATTACAGAGGTCAACTCTCCGTTCGTGTTGTTTGGCATGGTATGCCAACAATATCCCTTCCTCGAATGTCAATGACGGTTCAACAACTGTCCAAAAAGCACCGTTTGGACTACCGCGATGTGGTAAACAGAGTAAGCTCAAGTGCTGAGCGAGATGTCCCTTCGGTAGGTGGATATTTGTCTGCTGGCATCCCTTCCTAGCTACTGTGTAGCTGAGACGTTGTGCATGTCAGTTAAAATAACATACGGAGACTAGTTTCGGAATGAAGCCCTGCCGTTTCTGATTTGCGACTTCGCTCAGTTTGGTACGTCAAGAGGACGTGGAAGAAATGACCGACGGCACGCCGCTAGTCCGCTTCATAGACCCTGCGGGAAGTTATTGGAACTCCCGCTCGTATTCCCTAGTGGACTTTGAACAGCAAATTGATTCCCATGTTTCGGGATCCTCACCACTGTCGCAGTTGGCGGCCGTGAGCCGGTCGAGTACATCTTGAATTCCTGTTCGCCTTAAGTATTCTTTATTGTGAGCCTCTAGGACCCAGTCTCCAAGTTTGGGGTATCCGGTTGGCAATGCCGTGGAGTACTAAATTGATGACATCGATGTAACCCCAATCACAGTGATACCGAGCTTGCAGCAGAGAGGATTTGCTATAAGTAGAGGTCAGTATCAGACAAAACCATATGATCAGAGACTGCGGGTTGCTGTAAAGCCAAAGGAAACACTCACAAGGAGACTGTTGTAATTCCCATAGCATATGGGCTAGGTTGAACAAGCACATGAGGTTAGAACAGGTCTCCACTCCGTCTGGACCTAAGACCTCTTCTTTCCAGGCCTCGATTTGTTCTGAGGTCTAGAGAAACGCTAAAGCTCCCCAGAAGCCCGGGAGCCCTCCAACAGCCGTTCGGTGGCCCTACCTGGGATGTCCGCGGGCAGCTCCACGAATTGGCACGAGGACCACTCCGCGAGCCCTACCGGCGGCGAGACTGACCGATTCCAAATTAACCTGGGAGTGCCCGCGGGAGACGGGGGCGGTCCGCGAACAACAGGACCCCTTGTAGTCGGGGCCGCCAAAACGTTAGTCAAAGTCACGGTCTCGCCGCGAACGATGGCGGTCCACACCAGAAGTCATATGCGGCGACAACGACTTCGAAACTGTCAGACAGATCCACAGCAAGTGACGGCTTTCATCAACGCCCAATGCGATTTCATGGTTCATTGTTCTCACGGTCTGGCAAGATACTGAAAGCAAGTCTATAATTTCCACGTATCGGATTCCCTTTATAGCCAAGTATTGCTGTGGCACTCTCATTATCGATATAATCGAAGATTTCTGGAACTTTTTTGACACGTTGAAGTGTCGTCGCGTCGTATCTTTGTTATCTGCCCCAATCACAAGGGAAACTTAAGATAGGATCCTTTCCCAATGTTTGCCATGCAGTCTCAGGGCTCATGGAGCCGAATATTCTATATAAGAGGGACTTCAGTAAGGCTTCTGTACGTAGGCCGAAATGGTAGCATGTATCGGACACACAGCCTAATCCGTACGACTTTTTGTATATGTTACATTCGTAACAACATCTCTTGAGTGTTGGAAGATAAAGAAATGACCCAATCTTCGGCACCTGGGCTGGCAGAATTCATTGAATATCTGCCCAATGGTATAGTAGAGAAAGACGCACATCTGGTGCATTAGATGGAGTGTGTCGTATGCATGGCCTCGAAGCAAGTATTATTCGAGGAGGTATTCAACTTAGAATTTGGTCTTGCTGTTAACTAGGATTTTGCAAAAGTTTGGGGGATCGATTCCCGACTTCTGTTGGGGTCGCTAGCCACTGCCAGGATGATTGCCGGTTGTTTCATCCGCTAGGTCGAACGGTTTCAGCATGTCCATTTCGTGGCAAAAGACAAGTTTGGGTTCGATTATTTGGATGTCAATTATACTGTTTGTTTCCGTGTTGTGGTATGGACAGTAGATACCGGCATATGTCGTGCCTGAGAACTTGCCAGTCGTAATGATGGTCACGGTGGTAAAAGAGTATACGGCAACGGGTATATCACTCAGTATAGTGTTGAACATAGTACCGGTAGAAGTAGAGCAAGAAAATAAATGTAACCAGAGTACTGGACGAAAAGAGTGTGGACTTAGACTTTGTTGAGGACCCAAGATGCATGTTCTTAGGATTACTTCGCATCGCTTAGTTTCGATGGTATTCGTAGACCACAGATTTAATCCCCTGTGTCTTGAAAAGCTTTTCCCAGTGCTCTCGGTCTCTGTCTGCAGATAGTATTGCCAGTCACCTTATACTTTTTAGCGAGACTGTCTGCACTCGCCGATATATTGCTGAAGTCGGCATTAGCCTTCATGGATCCCGATCCCAGGTTCGATGAAGTTGTACTAGAATGTTGTATTTGCCGCCCAGCCCGTCAAAAGCTTCAATCTCCCTTCGATTAGAAAGAGCAATTCTCGGCTGTCGTAGTGTCTGACACCACTCTTTGGAGGGATGCAATTGCTAGACGGCATGTTACCTCCCTGATAGCTGGATTCTTCGTCAGCATGGCTTGGCGAGGCAACAATAATGGACCATTGGATGCATATTCGAGCGCAATTTCTCGATTGGCTAGATTGAGTGCAGGAAAAGGAGCATCAGGTATCACCTCGCAGATGTTCTCTCCCTCACGAAAGACTCATTGGTTGGGCTGCCGCTGACTGTGAGCCACGGCCCCTGAACAAGCAAATCCAACAGAAAAGTCAATTCAGTTCCATATACGTCTCTCGTGCCATGGCACAAAGAAGGGGAACATTGTCCGTGGGCGGAAGTAATTGATGGCAACTGTACTCAAGAGGAGCGGTTCGTATGCCACTCCATCCATAATCTTTGGATTATCTTGTGATTGCCCTGGAACTATTTGGTCGACCTATGTCCACAGTGAGTCTGATGGTTTAAGATATCTGGCTTTGATATCGACACGCGGAGATATTATCTCGGAAGAATGTATAGTACAGTCTGTAATCTTGATGACGATCGTGCGTCATAGCATACAACAGGTGGCCTTCGTAGTAGATGTCATAATTGCTCGGTAGAGGAAACATCCCAGTGGTGTTGACGGCTAGTAATATAAAGATTTTCTTCTTGATAATAATTATAAAAGAAGATAGAGAAGAATATAGGAAGGAGGAAAGATCTAGCAGGGAAACTTCCGTCCTTTTATATCCATGGAAGACGGGAAGATGCAGTGAAATCTACGGAATGTGCCGTGAATCCTACAGCGTTTGGATATGAATGAGGATGGATTGTAGGTAATAGAACACAGGTAATTGAGACAAATTCCCAGCTAGCCCTATACAATTCCATACTCTATTCCAAATAACCCCTGCAAATTCAACGCTGCAGTAAAGGCGATATGTGAATTTTCTGCAATTTGGTGAGTATGTGGCGGGCTGGGTGAATCTGGGGGTTATCTAAAATGATGAAGCAAGGGGGAGCCTTGTCTTTTTTTGTTTCAAAACGCAAAATTGATGCTTTTCATCTACAATTATGGGTTGAGAGCTCTGATTGCTTTTGGGTAAACTGTGTGATGTACAGTCTAGCACAGTCATCGTCTTCCCTGACTGGACGAGCGTTGGTTAGTAGCTCTATTATTCACAAAAGCCATGCTTATATGCAAGATACGCTATGTTCTATGGTTTTTACTCGTATTTTGAGGAAATGCAGCTCTTAGATCGCTTGTTCCGGTGGAACACAAACATCGAAGGCTTTCTACAGAGCGGTTAAGAGGTCAGCATCTTATCATGTAGGTGTAGCTCGAGTCTTCTGTTATTGGGTATTGTATGCTACTATCATATCATACTTGAGACAGATTTTCGCTTGGTGCGGATAGTTCTACTTCTCAACATGCTATGTACTTGGCAAAGGCACCTCTCAGCGAACGATTGGCTATTATTGATAGTCCCATATAAGTTCTAAACACACTACACATATGCAGAGAGAGAGAGAGAGAGAGAGAGAGAGAGAGAGAGAGAGAGAGAGAGAGAGAGAGCAAGCGAGAGCGAGCGGACAGATATCTAATTCAAGTGCCCAGCATAGAATTGGAAGCATCACATCAAGCCTTGGCCAATTCTTGCAAGCCAGGAGCAATCCACTTGCGATTTTCTTTCATCATCCACTTGCAGAGCGTCTCTAAACCATGTCGTGCCGCATAGAACTCTTCCTTCTCTTCGAAGCGTCACTTTTTGATAAGAAAGTGCTCGTAAGCAACTTTCGGATCTCCTGGGTCGCCGTTCGTCCAGTGTCCGAATACGTTCACATCGTTGCGACTGATCGTAGCCGTAAGTACTCGTACCTTCCCGTCGAACTTGTCGGCTTCGTCGTTTTTTCCGTAGGCCTTTTGGTGGAAGTATCCCAGACCTCTGAGCATTAAGGCGGCCAAGTGGAGGTTCCGGGAAGGGCCTTGCTCTGCGTCGCTTCTCATCTCGATCGAAAAGAAGGGAAAAGCAAAATGTGTATCCAGGACTATAGGGAACGCGAACCTGAGACTGTCTGGCACCTCATCGAAAGCAAGTTTATAATCTCCACGTATCGATTTCCAGTTATAGCCAACGACAATGTCGGGGTCTGATATATTGAGAGGTCGTAGCATTGTCTTTTGCGGTTTAAGAGGCTCGGTTTTGAAATGCATTGATACGTGATACTTCAACTCCGGCATATCAATGAGCCATTCAGTGACGAAGAATGGCATAGAAAGTCTGAGTGTAGCCAGACCGACAGCACGAATCCTATTCAGGTATGCATGTCTGAGAGAATTTTCGACTTCTGTAGGTGCTGTCAACGTAGAGGGTAACTCGTAGTCTGGATTGGGTTCCCCATATGACGGAGGAATCTCCCCCACGACGTTGATTTTGCGGGATATGAGGGCTTCTCTGTATGCAAGTCCATCTGCATAAGTGAGGTTCCTCGATTTGGTGGCGTGGCGGTCACTGGGCGATCCATATCCGTGAATGGAAACGAAGGAGAAGACGAAGGGATTGTGATGTCAGTTTCAGGCCAGTGAGCGGGATTGATGTTATTGATATAGTCTAAGATGCGTTTTTTGTGATAACTCTCTGAAACATGACTAGATTCCAGCTGGTGGAGAGGGGACGCGGGTCTTAAAGCATGCATGTTAGCTATTCAAGGACTAAAAAGAGAAGGAGCAGGCACAACAGTGGAAAGTGTCATGAGAACAGCGACCTTTTGAGGAACATTTCGCCACTTGCAGAAGCCATCGCTATTATGATTAATAGCAAATTGTGGCACTAGCATTCATGTAGTCCCAGGTTGAGATCTGTTCGAGGGACGCCGTAGGTCAACAATTTAGGACAGGTTGTACAAGTGTTGGGCAATGGGGGAGATGATGGAATGGTTTGGTGCAAAAGAGTGAGTTTGTTTGCGAGGCAAGAGCTGATCAAAGCTTGAAGGGGTGTATGAAGTAAGTATGAGTGTGGGTGTCATCTGATTACTCGTTTAGTACGTGATACATACATACAACCCGCTTTCGTTCCTCTTTCAGGCAACCATACAGTAGTACTAGTAAGTAGTATCAAAGTGTTTGTTCAGCCTCCCAGAATGACTACTCGCATATACCTTATTCCTACATGAGAAGTTGATTTAATAAACCAATCCAAAAATAAATAACCATGCCCTTATAGAACACTATCATGTACATCTCTACTAGTTCCGCCTCCGTCTGTTGAACTACCAGCAGAAAGTGCTATAGTCATTCCGTCCATAGCCAGCAAGAGGTTTCAGCAAAAAAGTCAAAAGGAAGACGGATATATCTGCACCGGATGGGGATTGAACCCACGACCTTCGCATACCAACCAATTACGAGTGCGACGCTCTACCACTGAGCCACCGGTGCTGTCTTAGTAAGCACGGTGGCAAATTGGATTTCATCAGCCTATCCTTACCACCATCTGTTATTGGCAGGGAACTATAACTTGTGGAAGTGTACTGAGTACTCCAGGCTTGTTATCTATGTGCAGAAAAAAAATGGAATTGGAGGATTACATATTATCATATTATCTCTCCCTAGGCTAATCCTGATACATTTTTGACACATTATTCGTTGGTTGGTAATAATCGCATCCCATATAGTGGTGATGCTTGTCGCTAGAATGGCAAGCCATTCAGACTTTAAAAGTCATGAACATAAAGAACATCAATCTGCATCATTAATCGAATATCATCTCAATCATAGTTGATCCCTCATCGAGATCTCGAGTAAGTACCAGATCATCAGTCAGATCACTATTCTGCAAATCGTCAACAAACCAGCCACACACCACAACCAGAAAAGGCAAGGTAAACTCACTAAGCGACTCCGGACCGGTATACTTCTCACTGATCTTCTTGCCGCCCTTCAATTCAATAATTTTCAGCTCAGACGACAAATTAACCCGTCTGGCAGTATTTACCTTTTCCTGCATCTGGCGCGGGAAATCCACCTCCACCTTCTTCATGGGCTTGCAGAGCCAGAAGCCGGCGTCCACGCAGTAGTCCTTGAAATGGATTCTCTGCAGTCTCTTAGCGTCAAACCAATGCAGGAACGGATCCGCGTCGACGATGAATCCAAAGAGAGTCAGTGTGCGGATGGATAGCTTCTGGCGAGTGCGGCCCACAGACATGGCGCGCACTTTGGCCTTCTCGATGACCATCTTGTCGAGGTATTCGGCTTGGCCGAGTTTGTGGTCGAGTGCGCCGGTGCCGTCGCCGCTGGCGATGGGTTTGCTGTTAGTAACTAAGATGAGATGGGGGTAACTGGGATGCTTACAAGTAAACCGGTTCCGCATAGTGAGCCTTGTTGAGCTTCCAACCTCCCTTAATAAAGGGCCAATCGCCAGTCTTGCTCTTGCAGATGCGGGGATGCAAGGCCATGCCAAGCTCCAGTTCCTCAAGGTCAATGTTCAACCAGGCAGCCTGCCAGATATATGTCTGGTATGACTGCATCATGCCAATGATCTTCAGGCTGCGGAGGTTGCGGAAGAGACAAAGAGGAGACATCTGCTCAAGATCAAGCATGATGAGTGCCGGTTCGGTTTTGCTGTCGGTTTTATTGTCAATTTCACTGATGTTCTCCTTATTGTCCAATTCCTGAGGCCAGAACAAGTCAAGTCCGAGCGAGTGACGGTCATCAGTAAGACGCTCCCAGGTCTCGCCACCGCGGAACTCCAAGAGAGGCTTCTCCGGGGTGGCTTCATCTGCAGATAGGAGCTGGATTGATCCCACCTCGGTCTCATCTTCAGACTCCTCCCGCATCAAGTTAGCCATTCTGTATAGGGCGGAGCGGATGAGCGAGCTCGAACGGCTGGACGCGACACTGGATCCTCGGACTTGGGATTGGGAGCGCGTGCGAGATTGTGAACGAGGGCGTCTGGAGAGTTCAGCGACACGAGCTGTTGCTAGGGGAGTGCCAGTGAACGCCGCATCGTTCATACTGAACCGACGGCTTCTGCGTTTGTCTGGGTTGGCGCTGCTGGCAGCAGGGGCATGGGAGTTTCGCTCATGTTCTTGGTTGAATGGGAATCTTTCGTGCAGAGGCTTGTTTTGGTCTAGAAAGAGTATTAGTTAGATGATGAGGGGATGGAGACTGTAGACAGAGAGAAGAGGGGAGGTTCAATACTCACCTGCTTCGATGCGGTCGTGAATGGGCTGGTTGTAAGCTTCAGCATCTTTCCAGAACTCCTCTCCGAGGAGAGTAGCCTTCCAGTGATCCGGGTAGTTCTCCATCGTGGGTCTGTTGGTGTCCACCAGCAGTGGAGATGTGATGGAGAAGACCTCAGTTGAACAGATGATTACTGCGCCGAGAAGCGCCGAGCAAGATCAGGTGAGGAGTGGTGAAAGTAGGGAAAGTGAGAAAACAACGGTGAGAAGCGGACGAACACATATTGCTGCAGCCAGGAAGCCATTCACTGATGCTAAGAGTGGAGTATCTCGGCGTGTGTGCAGAAGTAAACAGCCTTTCTTTGGTGCCGGACAGACAAACCCGCCTCAAACACACCAGCTCCATATAGAATATTAACAAAGCACCTACATCACAAAGACTTTCACCGAGCACTAAGCTTGTGGTTACTCCATTGTCAGTTGCTACATTCTTTATATACATCCTACTCTGTCTGGCTTTGTTTTGGCTATTTGGGCATTCATTAGTGTCATCCTGCTTTATGCCAGCCAATCCGCCATCATGCATCAGCTCCTCCAAGAACTCATCTCCTTCGGAAAAGCAGCGGTACTTCCTCCCTCATAGCCAGGGTGATAATCGCGGTGCTTTTATTCAGTACTCTTTCAGCATTCAGTCTGCCTTTCTCACTGCTGTCGGCCAACTCAATCCGGTACTGTTGGAGGACTGTCGTAAGCGCAGCGACGAATTCGACCTGCGAGAACTTCTTTCCCAAGCAAGCGCGGAACCCGTCGCTGAATGAAATGTAGGCACCTCTAACGGGCTTATGGATAGTCGGATATTCCAACCCAGGGCCAGCAAGTCCAGGTAAATCGGCATTTCCGGCCAAGAAACTGTCCTTATTGCGCGCATCCCACCTCTGCGGTCGATAGAGGGTGACATCGTCCCCCCAGTATTCTTCAGAATAGTGAAGGCTGCCCGGATTCAAGTTGATGTCGATATCAGGTTCCAAAACATAGTCTTTGCCTTCGTAGTGGATGACGCTCGGGGAGTCCCCTGTACATTTTGGTATGGTGACGACCGGAGGGTAGAGGCGCATCGTCTCGAGCTAAATCGCAGTTAGCTTACCACCAGCTACACCGAAGGGGATTTTCAGCGTACCATCACGCAAAGAGGGGTGACAAGCTTGGGGAAAACTTCATCATAGTTCCAGTCCCCAATACTCGGCGGTTCATCTTTGACAGCCTCGGATATGCCGTTATATACCCAATCTTGTACATCTTGATGCAGGGCAAGCAGTACAAAAGCAAACCTCAGAGTTGTTGCTGTCGTTTCATGCCCAGCAATGGTAAATAAATGCATGTTGCTGATGATTTCTCGGTCGGAAAGACCTGCGTCTTTGCTGTCTCCAGGTTTCCTGGAGATCAACATGCCCTCAATAAGATTCGAGGGGCTTTCTTGTCCGCTTAATCTGGACTCCGTGGTAGTAATCAATCTCTGTAGATACTTGTCTAGATCTCGGTGAGCTGCGAAGTCCTGCTTGAAGAATGGAACCAACACTCTCGGAATCCACTTAGGTAACATATTGTTCGCCAGCGCCATGGTGGGGATGTTCACATTCATGTAAGCCACTACTGCCCCGAACGTGAAGTCGAAACCTGCTGGTGGGGTGGGACTGTCCCTGAAAATGTCCTCCTTGTTCTTGAGCGAGTCCTGGGGTAGTGGCTTAAAGGGCGCTTTTACTCCAAACCCAGCGCCAGACAGCACGTTCAAAGTAAGCTTGTGGATGTCGTCTCTAGTACATTCCGCCGTGAATCCCAGTCCACGAGTTGAATCTAGCGGAGAAGCTTCCGCCCATTGCTCGATCATATCCTGCGTTTGTTGAATAGACTCCTCCCACACCAGGGCGTTATTCTTTTCGTGGAACGTTGTTGCTGTGTATCGACGGTGGTGAGACCATTCTTTGTCCTCACACTAGACAGGTCAGTCCAGGACCTACCTTGGTATTTTCGAGAGGATGAACTTACTGTGACAACATTAGGCCCATACATATCCAGGATGCCTATGATAGCATTAGCATTCGAAGTTGCACAACTGACAATTGTTAGGGAGACCCACTATATAGCCTGACTGGCTTCGGAAAGTCCTGTCGTGCGTTGACGATCTGAGAGACCACAGAAGCATCCGCGACGCTCAAGAAAATGCCGCCAGAATTGACTAGCATGTAAAGCTTCCCATACCTCTTCACTTGGCGATCCCTAACCATCCAGCGATAGGTGCCAACATTATCGTACAGGATATCCCCAACCCATTGGGGAAGACAATATTCTGCAAGCAACGGGAGAAGCCAGCCGAACAAGATCATAAATATGATGCTGACATTATACGGGGGCACAACATAAGGAAGCTTGGAGCGCTGTGCTTTGCGTATATTCTTGGCGAGGTTCCAGATGTAGTTAAAAACAAGCAGGCTTATGAAGCCTAAGACGAGTGTGTACGCGATCATCGCACTGGGAAGCCCAAGCTCGGGCGGGTACTCGCGTCAGCAGAACTTTACTTTGCAGGAATGAAATGAAGGAATCCTTGGATAATAAATAAGCATCGACTCAGCGACCGCTGATTCCCTCAAATCCTGTCGGATTATTGTTTCCCCCTTTGATAAGTGCCAGGCTGTCAGTGGCGCGGCGCAGCTGACATGTGCTAACTTGAGTCGCACTGGCTTAGAATTTATTTAAATGAGTGCTCCGTAATACTCCCCGGCGCTTAGAGAGATATGAAGGGGGAGTGGAGGAGAAAGGGATACCAGCCCGAAGGTGGTTGATTGATGGTGGTACCAACAAGGGCAAAAGGATCGTGACTTGGCTATCGATCCAGTAACTCGATGGATCTCGGACTATCTTCGATCGGCAGCTGAAGGCATGGTTGCGGGACGCACGGGAGGTGGATCATGCGCCACGGGTTCTGCAGTCTGCTCTTGTTTTATTCGACCGCATCAAGCGAATGAAAATCAAGTTATTGTAACTGACGCGGGTGCATAAAACGACCAGGTACGGGGAATGTCGGCTGGATGCCGTCGACATTGTTGATGGCTGGGGGCGTGGCAGATAAGCAAGCAGTGGGTTTAGGCGGAGCCGTATGCGGAATCTGGAACACATCCAGGCACAACTTCTCCACTACATTGTCTGATACGTAGACCAGGAAAAGTTGAGCTGAGATTAACAACTACGTCATTACGAGGAAGCTGAAAATATGGAAGGTCTAGAGAGCAGCCACTGTTCGTCAAATCGAGCACTACGTCGCGGGGATCCCTGATTGAAGGCCTAGCCCATCCTACTATATCCGGACCGTGTGCAGGCATTGCAATGCAGGAACCCGTCAGCCACCCATTTTCAAGTACCGTCGGCTTGCCGAAAGAGAGCTTGGATCGACATCACGTTGTTTTTCCTTGTTCACTGTTCCCGTGTTCATTACATCCATGAATACCGTATATAGCGTAGCATAGCGCGAAAAGTCAGGATTTGCCGGTACTGCCGATCCTACAACCGAAGAGACTTTTGAAAACCCGTAGGAAAATAGTTCGATTCAAAAACAATCATGCAAGGTTATTCCCATCATAGCACTATCCTAGTACTTCTTGCCCTGACGCAGGACATCACCGAACTCCTCCAGAGGGCTGCGGATGAGCTTAGTCTCCTTCCAGAGGTTGGGGGTGAGGAAGCCGTAGGTGTTGACGACGGCAAGGAAAGTAGCCTTGAGGGTGTTCTCGAGGGTCTTGGTGGAACCGGAAGAGCAGGTGTAGGCATCCTGGACACCGGCAAGCTGGAGCAGACGCTTGACAGCGGGGGAGGCAACGAGACCGGTACCACGGGGAGCGGGGATAAGCTATAACCGGGTTAGCATAATGGCCGGACGGAGAAGCGAGATCGAATATCGGGAATGAGTCGCGACATACTCTGACGGAGACGGAACCACACTTGGCGCTCTGCTTGACGGGCAGAGAGTGAGGCTCACCAAGGTTGGTACCCCAGTAACCTCTACGGACGGGGAGAACGCTGAGCTTGGCGATGGTGATGGCGGCACGGATAGCGGTAGCGACTTCCTTGGAGGTCTTGATACCGAGACCGATGTGACCCTCGGAGTCACCGATGACAACGACGGCCTTGAAGCGGGTACGCTGACCGGCACGGGTCTGCTTCTGGACGGGTTTGATCTAAATTTTCCAACCGTCAGCACCTCCCACTTTTTCGATATATCCTTTTTGACTCCATCATGTCTGCAATTCCGATCCACGTAAAAATTCCACCGGCGCATTCAATCCTATTTCCCGCGCACAATCGTAGATCTTCCTTGTCGACAATTCGGTAATCGGGCGATCGGTTCGTACCTTCATGACCTCATCCTTCAGCTTGGGGAGGAAGAAGTCCACAATCTGGTACTCCTTCACGGGCAGGGAGTGCAGGTAGATCTGCTCCATGCTGGTGATCTTGCCAGCCTTGACGAGACGGCCGAGCTTGGTGACGGGCTGCCATTCCTTCTCCTGCTCCTTGGCACCACCGCGACGACCACGGCGACCACGGCCACGGCCACGGTCACCACCACGGTCACCGCGAGAGCCGAATCCTCCACGTCCACGGGGAGCGTCAGCCATGTTGGATATATATGGCGATTGAGAAAGTCGGGGGGGAGAGGTAACGGACGGGAGGTGTCGTTGGGGTTGTCGACGTCGAGGTTGACTTTCTTCTCGCTATCCACAACTTGTTTTGGCACCTGGGAAATTTCGCTGGCGGGTGCGCTAAGCGAGCCCGCAGCCCTGTGCCCTAAGGTGCCCTCCCGATTAGGTAACCTGATTGGGACCCCCCATCCCGTATCATCATGTGACAAGTGGATTATACCCCATTGGGAGCCGTTATCTTCCAATGATTTTGCTTTATTTTTCTCATTTCAACTTCCCGCTGATGCTCTTATCGGCGGTCTGGGGTTCTGATCCAATTATTTGAAGTTATCATAGCTCCCCTTGGGTCCTCTTCTGCTCTTCTCCAACTATTTACAAATCTGGGGCGCTGGGATCATCATCTCCGTTCGCAGTCAATCGCATTAATTAGTTTTACTTAATATATAGTCATATCCTATTCTTTGATAATGTTGCGTTGGTATGTTTTGTCCATCCTGATGATCAAAATTTCCATTGCTGATCAGGCACAGGTATCAGGCGAGGTTGGCCAAGCAGCCTATCCTTACTGCTAGTGTGACGAGTGCTGTAAGAACTTCATTCCTCTTACAACCCATTCATTCATTCACCATCGTACTTCCTAATATTCGATCTCAACTCCGACGTAAGATCAGTTTTAGCTGACCTTTATTTCCCTTGCGGACTAGCTGTTGTTTGGTAGTGGAGATGTTCTAGCCCAACAATTAGTTGATCGTAAGGGATTTGATAAGCACGACATGGCAAGAACGGGGCGCATGGCTCTTTATGGTGGAGGTAAGCTACTATATAATCCCTTATCATTCTGAGGTCCCCTTTCTGCCCTTACAAGCCCTGGGAGCCTTCATACAAGGCAAGTGGGCAAGCTAACATGTAACAGCGATCTTCGGACCCGCTGCCACCACCTGGTACGGTGTCCTCCAGCGTCACGTCGTCCTGAACAGCGCCAAAACTACCCTCCTTGCCCGTGTCGTCGCGGATCAATGTGTCTTTACTCCCGCACACCTGACTTGTTTCCTGTCTTCCATGGCCATCATGGAAGGCACCGATCCCATCGAGAAGTGGCGTAACGGTTTCGTTCCCAGCTTCAAAGCGAACCTTGCAATCTGGCCTCTCGTCCAAGGAGTCAACTTTGCCATCGTGCCACTTGAGTACCGTGTGCTTTTTGTCAACCTAGTCGCGTTGGGTAAGTATATCCCAGGCTTCTACTGACATCGAATGATACTGATATCACTAGGCTGGAACTGCTTGTTGAGCCTGATTAACAGCGGTGAGAAGTGACTTTGATTATCAATACCCCATCTGTTGTAGACACTTTGCAGATATCCCTTTGCTGTCCATAGAGTACTAGATGTTGTCTGATCCAATTGTTTCGCATTCGATTATTAAACCTACGGGCTTCTCTGCGCGTCTTACAAAAAATTTTCATATCAATAAGTAGCATTTTGCTGTTTAGTACCTTATAAGAAGATTAAATTATTACAGAAATAGTACTCGCTGATAGTTGTGTGTTTCGATTGTTGTTTGTCGACCTGGCTACTAGACCGCGGACGGTTTTATATATTTCAAATTACTTGCAAAGTAGTACTGTAAGTAACCGGCTGTAGCACTACTAAGAGCTCTCAAATTTAACCTAAATAAATCGCGACGGTGTAACAAGACAGCATCAATGAGTAGATTTTGAAGTTAATCCACCTCATATATATATAGAAAAATAATAATCTATAAATAATATTTCCTGATGTCGACAAGATGACATTCCCGGTGATTAGGGCTGGGGTTGGGCAGCGGTTAGCCTATGAAAGCACTGCAAAGCGGCGTGGCCCAAAAGGGTAAAGTTCCAATCGTGTCCCCAAATGCGGCTTTCTCCAAACCATCAAAACTTCAGGTTGTGATTTTCTGTCGTCGCCTCAAGGAATCCCCTTCTATCACGACTTCTCTCGCCGTGATTCTGCCTGGAGCAGACGACTCAACTTTCCGTGAACCGAGCGCGCCACTTCCCGCTCCTACTCTGAGCCCGTCAAACCCCCCAGCTGCGCCTTCCGCGATTCTCTCTCCGACACAAAATTTGCCATCCGCGCTATTTTGTCTCTTCCCCTCCGACACGACCGCTTTCCCTCTCATCACCACAATCTCGCCGTTGCATCCTCTTCAACCACCCTCACTTTCCCCTCACTTCCTCAATCAACTTTCATAATGGCCGCTGTTGCTGAGAACGGTCACGCGCCCGTGGCTGACGAGAACGCCGCCCCCGTTGCTGCCGCCGTCGAACAGAAGGAACAGACCGAGAAGACAAATGGAGACTCTGTCACAGTATTCCACGACCCCGAAAACTTCACTGTGAAGCATCCTTTGATGCATGAGTGGACTCTGTGGTTCACCAAGCCCCCTAGCGGCAAGGTACGGATTCTTGCTGAATCAGACATAGCAGTTGGTCAGACAACTAACCTCTCCTGCGCAATAGGGCGATAACTGGAACGATCTGTTGAAGGAAGTTGTGACTTTCAACTCTGTTGAGGAATTCTGGGGTATCTACGTATGTGTTCACCTTTTTGCGTCTTCCGAGGAGACTTGCCCCGGCTAACCAATGCTTCAATAGAACAACATTTCGCCGACATCCGAGTTGGGCCTCAAAGCCGACTACCATCTCTTCAAGAAGGGCGTTCGTCCCGAGTGGGAAGACCCCCAGAACAAGCACGGAGGCAAGTGGTCATACTCTTTCAAGGACAAGCGCTCCGTGCCCATCGACGACCTGTGGCTCCACGCACAACTGGCCGCCATCGGCGAGACTCTCGAGAACGATGGTGACAACGAGGTTATGGGTGTTGTTGTGAACGTACGCAAGGGCTTCTACCGTGTTGGTCTGTGGACCCGGACTGTTGGCAAGAGTATCCCCGGAGACAAGAACGGTCGCACACCCGCACAGGGCAAGGAGATCCTTGAGAACATTGGTCGGCGGTTCAAGGAAGTCCTTCGTCTCAAGGAGGCTGATGCCGTTGAGTTCTCGGGTCACACGGACAGCGCACACAGCGGCAGCACGAGAGCCAAGGCCAAGTACACTGTCTAAGGTATATGGCCTGTGTGTGCAACTCAACTCCAATTACGAGGTATTCATTGCGGATCTGTTTCTTTGCTACGGAATAATGGGAAGTCTTTGTGACGATGGTTGATAACGAATCCGAATGGACCGGCATGAGGAAATGCGCGTCCGACTTGCTAGCATTTGCAGTTACAGTGGTGGTTCGGTCATAGGCACTGATGGCATGCATCTTTCCCTCAGTACGTATTTCTGACGAGGTTTATACCATATTTTATCGAGTTATAGCTTTACGCCTCTAGTGGCTCACAAAATTACGAAAAACACTTTTAAACATCTTATTCTAGTGCATGTGCAATAGACATTCCGATGCCTCTGGCTCTACTGTTTCCATATTGTGTGCCGAAGACTTACTCTACATCTAGGATAGGGATATACTTCGCCGAGCTGACTTGATGCCGAATCTGATCGACGTAGCCCTGTGTAAAAAAGGCGACACCCTGGAACTTCGGCTTCCTACTTATCCACGGCTCCCAGATGGATGAGTTTTTGTTTGTAACTATACTGTGGTCCGTCTCATGGGACGCGGATCTATTCTTGGGACTCCTGAGGCCATCCACCGTTCCAGTTCGGCCCAAACTGGACTGATGACCTGCACTGAAGTCATTTTGCGCATCCTGACTCAATCGTTCTAATTATATCGAGCGCTGACTTTTTGCAAGCTTTTTCTGCCCCGTCTCGTTGCCTTCTGGACGATTATAAAAAGGGACTGCCAGCCCTGCTTGTCTCTCGGAAAACCATCCCTCCTACAACTCCCCCCTCCTCATCTATTCTCTACTCTTGGCTCCTACTTCCTCTTCTCTCCTCTCCTTCTCCTCCTACTCTTCCTACTCTTCCTCACATCTTTACCTTCTATTCTTATCTTAGATAGTTCTATTCTCGTTGCTTCTTCTGCTTGTTTTCTACTTGCTTTTGAAAGCGTTCTTTGCGTCCGTTTGGCTTACTCCTTTTCTTACTTCGTCTGCCTGTCCTGCTCGTTCTGCTTTACTTGATCTGCTTTCCTGTTTGTTCTGCGTTGCTCGTCTGCCTGCCCTCTTCCCTAATATCTCATATCTCGTCATCTGCCCTTCTTTTCCCTTCTCTGACCTCTCTTCCCTTCTCTTCTCTTCCCTTCGCTCTCCTGCCTACCTTCATCTCCCCACCTTCTCCTACTCTACTCTGTCCCGCCTTTCCCTGACCTACCTTACCTACCCCGTTGTCCTCTCTGCGCTCTCCCTTACCATCTCTTCCTCGTCATCTGTCTATCTCTCATCTCCTCTCTTCCCTTCCCTTTGCTCTTCTATTTGCCCTCATCTCCCCTACCGTTTCTTCCCCTACCTTGCCCTTACCTTCCCTGTCTTCTCTGCCCTTTTCCTTTCCTTTCCCTGCCCTTTGCCTATCACCTCCTCTCCTTTCCTACCCTCACCTGCCTGCCCTGCTCGTTCCTTTCCTACCCTGCCTTGCCCTCCCCTACCTGCCCTATCCTGCTCTGCCCTGTCCTTCTCTGCCTCACCTTTTTCTTGCCTTCTTCTGCCCTTTACTGCCATCCTCCCCTATTCTCGTCTACCCTGCTCTCCCCTGTCCTTCTCTCCCATATCTGCCTGCCCCTGCCCTTCCCCTGCCTGCTCATTTCCTGCCCATTTCCTATCCTTTCCCCGCCCTTTGCCTATTACTTCCTCTCCTTTCCTCCCCTCACCTGCCTGCCCTGCCCATTTCTTTCCTACTCTACCTTGCTCTCCCCCGTCCTTCCGTCCCCTATCTGCCTGCCCCTGCCCTCCCCTGCCTGCTCATTTCCTACCCATTGCCTACCCTTCCCCTTCCCCTTACTCTACTCTGCCCATTTCCTACCCTTTCCCTGTCCTTCCCCTTGCCCTTCTCTGCCCTGCCCTTCTTCTATCCTGCCTTTCCCCTCCTACCTTTCCCGTTGTCCTTCTTCTGCTCTGTTCTTCCCTGTCCATCCCTTCCCCTACCGTTTACTCCAGTTTCCCTGCCTGCTCTGCCCTACCCTTCCCCTTGCCCCCTCTGCCCTTCCCTGTCTTTTTACTGCCTACCCTTCCCCTCTCTGCCCATCTCCTGCCCATCTCCTGCCCATCTCCTGCCCATCTCCTGCCCATCTCCTGCCCATCTCCTGCCTGCCCTGCCCTGCCCTGCCTTGTCCTCCCCTGCCCTTCCCAACGTTTCTTTGCTTGTTTTGTGTTTATCCTTTGCTTTGCCTGTTCAGCGTTGTTCTGCTTATTCATTACTCTCGATTTCATCTCTTTCTTTGTTAGGTAGATTTTCATTCTTATATCTATTCTTATTAGATAGTTTCTTATTCTTATCTCTATTCCTATTATATAGTTTCTTACGCTTATCCTTTCATTCTTATAATATCCTTATCAGATAGCTCCTATTCTTATTAGATAGTTTTCTTATTCTTATCTTTTTCTTGTTTCTTATTTGTCATCCCGGCCACTGCTTGTCTGCTTGTCTGCTTGTCTGCTTCTATTCTTTACTTCCTAGTTTCCTTGCTTCTCCTTTCTTGCTTGCTTTTGTTTCTGGTTTTATATCTTGTTTTTATTTCCTATTGTTTTTTCTTGCTTCTTGTTTCCTATTTCTTACTCCTCTAGTCTCCTGCTTCCTGCCTTCTGCTTCTTCTGCTTCTTCTGCTTCTTCTGCTTCTTCTGCTTCTTCTGCTTCTTCTGCTTCTTCTGCTTCTTCTGCTTCTTCTGCTTCTTCT